GATTGATGATTTCAACTGTGAATAATTTCAACACTACATTTTTTGACATTAATTTGTACATTGATAAACATTATGGTATTCAGAGTATGTATATATAATCGAATTCACAGCACTCTCATAACTTTATTCTTTGTTTTCTACCCTATTCATCTTATTAATTGTATTGTATACACGAATATTTTTAAATAGTTTTATGTACCAAAAAAAACTGTCACCTAATTAGTTCATTGATCAATTGAATTTGTATAATACTGTAAATTGTACAACTAATTAATTTTAATATTTGTGAAAATTTTATTTGAAATAATCTCAACATTTCATCCAGTAATCTCGTCTAAACTTCTTTAAGGTCAGAGAATATGAATGAAACTGAACAATCATATCAAGTGTACACAAAGTGTTTAAGCTAATCTTATTCGGATGTTGACTTCAAAGCAAAGTATAGGCTAACTTGAGTCAAGTGTGGTATGAACAGTTCCCAATGCAAACACCGTTGAATGCCGGCCCAGTGGTCCGATGGTTAGGCGTTTGCGCACAATACCGAAGGTCCCGCGAGGAGCAGGAGTCGTGGATGCGCACTGCTGATGAGTCCCATACCAGGACGAAACGTCTGTCCAGTGCTTCCAGGTTTCTAATGGTGCTCTGTCTAACAATGATTGATTGGTGATTTCAAATATGTGTATTGAATGCGTAACTTTGTGTAATGAATAGTTGATATTCAGTGAACGTATGTCAAGTATTTGTTTATTAAACATAAGCAATAAAAGTATCATTGTAAATTTTTTTTCAAAAGTTGACTATGTATTGACATTGAAAATTACCAAACACATAATTATGATATCAAAATATTCAGATCATTTTCTGTCTGAACAACACTGCATCTGAATCAAACAGGGTGAGAAGAGATAACGTATGAATTGTTATTTTCGAAAGGGTGGTTGTCTGTATACCATCTTTTCTGTTCAGACTGTTCTGACTAACCCATGTATACATTGCTTTACTGTCAATCTGTAGTAATTTGGCTGCACGAACGTTTATCTTCTACCTGTTTTCAAGCATGTTATTGCTCCAGTTTCTTAGCTATGTATTTATTTTCATGACAGAGTTGCAAAATCATGAGTCGATCGTTGTTTGACCAGTGGAATCAAGCCATGTTGGGTGTAGGCACTTACCTACCAAAGATAATGGGTGAGGTTGAGTAAAACTTAAGATTGATTAAAGATGAACATTAGCACTATCGGAGACTGATTCAGAGGTCTAGAGATTAGGCGTTCTCACGAGAGAACTAAGATCTTGTATTCGATTCCCGTGGGCGCGGATGAATGAACAAAAATTGGACAAAAATGGAAAGGGAGCCTCAGGACAGAGTAGTTTGGAGATTGCTAGTCGGCGACCTATGCTCTGTTGGGGGATAGCAGGAGAAAGTAAGTAAATTAAGTAACTTTGTAGTAAAATTCTGTTAACTATATGTTTATCTTGAAACCATGAATCGATCAATGTTAGACCACCATTAGAAACCTGGAAGCAACTGGACGGCCGTTTCGTCCTGGTGTGGGACTCCTCAGCAGTGCGCTACAATAGCATATTGTCACCTGATGTTTTATGATTTCATACGAGTCACTTCTTATGTTTAGATAAATAAACTTTGATTTATTTCGGTTATTCGATAATTTACGATCAAGAACTAACTTGCAGTACGTCATAAAACATAATAAATACAAATTTCTACCCGTTTTGAGAAATCACTAAAAATTAAAATTAATTGATTTATGTTATTATTATCTTTCCATTCAATGTTCAATTTTAACTTTGATACTGATATTGACATATTGCCACTATTTTTTTATGCGTTTGTTTGTATTTTAATGTATCCTTTTAACAGGAATATGACTTAATTCGTAAAAACTAGCTTAGAAGTAACTGAATATATATATCTATTCAAAATAATATGATATGGTTTACTTCCAAAACTATGAAATAAAGGATTTTTTTTCAACATGAATCGTTGTCGTAGCTAAGAATCAATGTGTTTAGGGATATTTTCCGGTGGTAAACAGTGAATTTCCCTAAAAGAAATAATCATCCACACCGAATGAGAGGAAATTAACAAGCTGAGAAACCAACATGTTGTAACGATTACGAGCAGAGGCAATTGATTTCAAGTCATGTTACCTATTGTCATTAAGTATGAGTGTGAACTCTTTGGAAACAAACATGAACATCAAATGAAGTTGGTTCCTTCGATAGATCGGAATTTTCAAGATGTCGGATTAATAATTTGTCTACAAGTTGCATAGGTTTTTATCAAATAGGTTTGCAAAAGAACTTTAATTTGAGTGGTCGTGGGATATACATAAATGATCGGCATTACAGTTAATTAGAATGAAATGAAGCCCAATGTATTTCAAAATACAAGTATTTGCATTTTTTTTTCGGAGTGACAAATACTGAAGGTGAGTACAGTTGACTTAAAATAGGCAGAGCGTTTAAAATAAAATTCTACTTGAATTATTGCAGGAACATCTAATTGTATAGAACTCAGTAATTTGTGGATTCTATTTAAATCTTTGTGATTTTATTTCAGATGTGTTTTGATTAATTTTCAACTTGATAGATGAAAGAATTCTTTGTCAATTTATTCTTAGTACCTGCTGAATAACAATGATCCCATTGGTCTATATCTTAACTCGACATATTGTGAACTGTAATTTAATATTCAGTAGCTAAGATTGTGTGGGATCAGTATACCCAATTTCACACTGGTTACTTTAAAAAGTTTGATTGTGACAATGGGTAAGAAACTGTCTTCAACTCTATATGAGATTCATTGTTACCCTCAAGATATACTTTGATAGCGTCTGAAGGCGTGCTTGATACGAACTCCAAAACATTCTGAACGATCTTTTACCTACTTTTTACGTTAGCCTGTTATACCTAATGGGGCATAAGCCGCGACCATAGCCTTTCTCCAACCAACTCTGTCCTGGGCTTCCCTTTCCAGTTCTGTCCAATTTTGTTCATTCTTCTTATGTATTTCTCTATTTCTCGGCGTAATGTATCCTGGCCTTCCTCTTTTCCTTTTGCCTTGAGGGTTCCATGTGAGGGCCTGGTCTCGTGAGGCAGTTAGGTGCTTTTTGCAGTGTGCATCCTATCCACTTCCACCACTTTTTCCTGATTTCCTCCTCCACTGGAATCTCGTTTGTTCTCTCACACAGTGAGTTCATTTCTGACAGGGTATGGCCAACGAATCCGAAGTATTTTGCGCAAAACAACTGTTCATAAATACTTGTATCTTCTAGATCATGGCTTTGGTAGTTCTCCAACTTTCCGCTCCATACAGTACAATGGTCCTGACATTTGTATTGAAAATCCTGATTTTGGTGTGGATTGATATTTGTTTGGAGTTTCAGATTGTTTTTCAATCGTAGAAATGCAGCCCTTGCTTTGCAATCCGCTCCTCACATCTGCATCGAATCCACCTTTCTCGTCGATGACGCTGCCCAGATATGTAAAGGTGGTAACGTCCTCCAAGGTACTCTCCAGCAAGAGTGGTTTTGTTTGGAGAATGTGTTATGCTGTATCATAAAATCTTGCTTTTCCTCCTTTATGTATGTTGAAACTGCTGCTTTCTGAATGATCACATTCAAAATAATGATACCTTATATTTTAAAAACATGAAGAATTCTTTGATCAATTAATTTTATTGATAAAAATTAACCTATAAGGAGACGTAGTGATTTCGTGAGATGTTAACTCATTGTTAAACAATCAATAAAATGAATGAATGGATAAAGTTTTATACTACATATCTAATCGGCCCAGAAATTCCCTCCTCAATTGTGTTTTTTCCTTTTTCATGACTACATGTTATAATGTTGCTATGTAGCTATTCGAAATCTTACGACTGCCAATTCCGATATTCCATTACGACCTTCAAATACTGTTCTCAAATCTACCATATATCAAGACACAACACTGTTAGAAGAAGTTGTTTATAGGGTCGAGTACAGAAGGAATAATAAGCTTTATAGATAATGGCCTACTTTATACAGTTAGGTCCAATAGGAAACAACATTGAAGTGTGACATTGATAGTTAGGGACGACTATAATATTGACCAGTAGGAATCGACCAATAGAATTACGATATTTGATGAATATCCTAACACTATATAATCATTTCATAACTACACCTCCAGCCATTCTGGGTAACTTTAGGTCCCAAGCCTGGATAAAGGAGGAGGTTTGGGAATGCGTTATTTACGCCCGCATCCTGTTGGAAATCTACACGCTACGAAAAACGATAGCCAGAAAATATAATGTTGATCGGTTTGTCTATGCTTCATTAGGGGCAACAGGTTGTAAGTAGGTTAGTAAGTTGGTAATAATCATTCCATACAATTTTACCTATCTTGCATAAAGATAGTGTTGGTCGTCAACAATATTTCTGATTACTTCCTTGAAATATAATACAAACTGTGCATTTGTGAATTTGCTTACACGACAAACGGGATCTGTACAGGTTATTGATGGATGTATAATCCATTTCATAAATGCACGTATCATTTGATTTAAGAGATACTTTCGATAGAACCGAAAGAAAATCAGCTCTACCGAGTTGATATCATAACATAACGTTATTTCATCGAAACTTTACTAGGCCTTAACCAAATTTGTCTGCACACGACTGGTTGAGCAAATTCTCACTTGAAATATACAAGTCAACTTGGAACTGGGACTTTAGAGCGAATTAGTCCGTTTCCATACTTCTCTATTGCCCAGTGTTTCAAAAAATCATTCATCATAACTTTTCTCTTTGAATATTTTCAAAAAAATCGTATATTCATTAAAAGTATTTTAATAACTTTTTTCTTTCAGCTAAAACATAAATGAAACGATACAATGAAAATAAATACAATATAATTATTTAAAAATATTCATCAATATTATCCTGCACTGAATAACCATTGTTGTATTCTGACATTGGGTGGTGTTTGTTTACATGATGTGATTGGTTTTCGGTGACCATTGACCTAAATGACATTGTACATATTTAGGACCATCTAAATAATATTCATTAGGACATGAAAATATAATAATTGTTTCTTGTGTTGGGATTATTTTCGAATCATGAATATTGAATAACTTTCCATCAATTGAAATATTTGCTTTCAATGGTTCAACAATGTCTATAAGTGGACAATGCACTAAAAAAATTAGGGAAATAAGAATAATTTATCATTTAAATAACTATAGATATGATGAAATTTAAGATCTATCTATCTATCATAATATATATATATATATAACGTCCAGTGATGGCAAGCCGAGTTCCCTCAGAAGTCACGGGGCCGATGCCCCCTCTGACATTGTGGGAGACTGGAAGACTATTTCAAATTGCGGCAGAAATGAAAAGAAACAACTTCGAGGTGCTCGCTATCAGTGAAAACGCATTGGACACAGGTAGGACAACTGAGACTAGCTTCAGGGGAACTGCTGTTATACTCTGGTCATGAATAGGAAAATGCATCACATACACAAGGAGTTGCACTGATGCTGTCCAAACATGCACAAAAGGCACTGATAGGATGGAAATCTCATGGACCGAGGATCATTAAAGCATCCTTCAAAACAAAGAAACAGGACATTACAATGAACGTCATCCAATGTTATGCACCTACCAACGACTACAATGACGACGTTAAGGATAAATTCTCGAGAAATGTTCACCAAAGGATTGACGATTCTTATGGGAGACTGAATGCCAAAGTTGGTATGAACAACACTGGATATGAAGACATCATGGAACGACAATTGTACGAAACAACAAAGAATCTCGCCTGAAACTATCGCTAAAGCAGATCGACCAGTGAAAAGGCAAGGAAGGCAAAGTAATCAGCAAACACTGAAGAACAGCGAAATAGGTGGGTAGAGCACTTTAAGGAACTATTGAATCGACCAGCTCCGCTGAACACACCCAACATCGAAGCCTGCATCTACGGACATCTCAACTGATGTTGGGGCACTTATAATTGAGATCAGTATGGCCATCAGACAAATCAAGATTGATGAATCAGCAGGACCAGACAACATTCCAACAGAGGCAATGAAAGCAGATGTGGAAGCAAACTAGAGAAAATATTCCACATCCTCTTCAAGAAGAATTGGGATGAGGAACAAGTACTATCAAATTGGAAAGAAGGATACCTGATCAAAATACAAAAGAAAGGCGATTATAGCAAGTGTGAGAACTACAGAGTCATCACTCTTCTTTCAACACCAGGCAAAATCTTCACACAGGGTATTGGTTAAACAGAATGAAGGAAAAGAGGAAGTCGAATGAACACATAACGCCGAGAACTAGAGAAAGATATGAGAAGAATGAATAAAAATTAGAAAGAATTGGAAAGGGAAGCTCAGGACAGGGCTGGGTGGAGAAAACTGGTGGGCGGCCTATGCTCCATTGGAGGTAACAGGCGTAAGTAAGTAAGTAAGTATGTTTATACCGTATTAGTTAATAAAGAGATATTTTGAAAGTAGTTAATAAAGTACCAGGTCTTAACTAACTTGGTTTCAAATTTCAAAGGAGCTCCAACCCATTCACCATATAAACAACGTACAGTTCCTTTGGGATCCTCATTTTTATTCACTTTGTCTAGTCGATGCAAATTCTCATGATTCTCATGCATTATATAACAGGGAATGGTTCATATCTTGCAAGAGAATTATGTTTTAGACTATAAAATCTCACCCTAGCTCCAGGATAACTTGGTGGTCGTCTCTACAAGGAGCTACAATAAAAGGACAGCAAACAATTATAGATTATTTTTTGAAATATTAGAGTTTATAGTGTGGAAAATACAAGTTTTATTGGAACACAGAAATTACAATGTGGATGAGTAGACATGGTTAAGATCTTCATTGAAGTCGTGAATCATGCTAGACCACTATTAGAAACATTAACATCGTTGGATATCGGCTCAGTGGTCTTAAGATGAAAACGTTCGCACGCGACAACCCAAAGTCCTGGGTTTGATTCCGGAGGGCGAGGATAGTGGATGCGCTCTGCTGATGAGTCCCATACTAGGACAAACTTCTCTCCAGGGCTTTCAAGTTTCTAACGCTAGTCTACCAATGATCGATTCATGATTTGAATGGAACTCAACAGTCTTCACAGCTTTATAATTGTTCAGATCGTTATGTATTTATGATTGTGGAAAGTAATCAATGCAGAGTAAAACACATGTTATGATCAAGATATAAAACAGATTGTAAAAGTAAATGTGAAGGTCAGTGAAACCGATTCAGTGATTGGGTAATTGCCTCATCATGATACAATCAACAAACATACGAACTTCAATAAGGGAGATGAATATCAGAAGATGAATGAATAATAAAAATGTGGGCTAGGAACAAGGCCAAAAATATATTAAAAATCAGACTTATTAATAAAGGCTATTAGTATGAAACGGCTGTGATTACTATAGAGGTACTTTATTGAAATGATGAATCGACGATCACAGTTAGACCACCATTAGAAACCTGGAAGCACTGGACGGTCCCTTCGATCTGGTATGGGACTCATCAGTGGCATTGCGCATGCACAACTCCTGTTACTCACAGGGTTCGAATCCAAGACCTTAGGTCTTTCGTGCAAACGCCTAACCTCTGGACTACTGAGCCAGCACAATCTAACGGTGTTAATGTCCAACTTTTATCAATCCATAAAATAAGCTAATCAAGGCTAAAGTTAAGAAAACCTAACGTTATTCCAAAGGTTTCGTATCTTTCTGTTGTTTATATCGTGGAGTAAATTTTTGACCAGTATTAACTGGCATTTAAATACCGCCTGGAGTCCCTCTTGCACTACTGTCGGTCTTAAGCCCGGATAAAGGAGAAGGGATAAGGCGTGGGGTTGGCGACCCCATCCCGCAGAAAACTAAATCGCTGAAAAACACTAACCTGGAAAAAATAATTCAGTGAGTTGGCATTTGTGCATCTTAGCTGGATTGTTTTAATATAACCGTTTTCATATGGTTCGAGTACCTGATTGAACGTCAACACTAGGATGCAGATACAACGAAGTGATGAATCCTACCACACGAAATGGTTCATTTATTCTGTAAAAACGTGTTACATAATGGTTGTATCGAGGCAATCCCGACTGAAGCTGCTCGTGTATCCTGGAACAACCGTATAAGCAATGCTGTTATTAGGAAACAAGTTCTAGGTAGGGATGGCAAATCAATAGATGAAGTAGTGAAACTTCATCTATTGAGGTGGTTGGGACATGTGTTACGTATGGTTAACCACCGACTGCCTCGACGAGCTACGTTTTGTAGTGTAGGAGTAGGTTGGAAGAAAGCTAACAAAGCATGGCATAAATCCATGAAGTCACTGACAAGTGGACTGAATCATGTTGGTAGATGTAGGCTACCTGGTTTGGGTCCGCGAGACGACAGTCACCAATGGTTAGAGACCTTGGACAACATGGCTCTGAATCGTTTGCAATGGCGCAGGTGCATCCACTCTTTGTGTTCTCTCTAATTCTAACCTTCTGGATTCTTCAACACCTCTAGTTTTGTCTTTCTAAACTTATCTCACTGAATCATACTTCTTGAATAATATCTTCTAATCCTAACCTCTCCGATTACTTCTAATACCTTTACTACCTCTTCTACTATGGGATTTGAATCGACAATTACATCTCTGTACTGATGTGGTATGGCAACCTGAACTGATATACTTACGTACGAAGTTCTGCGTTTGTATCTGTCTATCTTTCTATATTGAGGCAATCCAGTCACTGTGAAAACATGCTCATTCAAATCTTTTAATAATTATGTAAATGTTAGCCCCCATTTTACAAGGGATTACTTCAATGAACGTTGGATGTCTGAAACGAAAACCACTGGATTTGAGTCCCGAAGTGATTATAAGTACTACAATACAGATACATACAAATGATAAACGTTGAATTGAACGAAATATACATTCCGAAATTTACTATTTTCCAAACTATCATTCATTCTATAGAATCACAACTTTATTTTAAAAGTGAAAACAATTATTAGGGTAGTTTTAAATGAATGTAAAACTGTTAGTATGCAAACTTTTTGGAAGTTAGAAGATATTTTCAACAATTTTTTTCTGTCAATATCAAAAAACCTGTTAATTTAAAATTTTTCTTTTCAGAAATATTGTGGTGCGAGCTACTTATAAGTAGTATATGACGTGAGTGTCAACGTAATATCTGGCAGCAGCAGAGAAGATGGGGGAAGATCAAGAAAGGAAGAGTTAGAACACAATGGAATTTGTGTATGAAACGCATGAATAGTGACAATGGATTGATGTTTCGCATCAGGAACAGTCCAGTTCGATAGGATGGACTGATATTTTGCAAAGTAACGATTTACGATATGGTTTGCCTATTTTACTAAGTAACTCTGTAATTTTCGTTAAATACAATTCGGTTGCCCCACCTGTGTTCTCCTTCACTACAATATCACTAAATAGTTTTAAATGTTACATTATATCTTTAAGGGGTTCATCATATTCAAACTACCTGAAAATATCTCAATTATAAAACAATCAATATAATTGATGTAACAGTTTTAAGAAAAACTACTTATGTATTGGTCGACAATAGAGATCAGTTTGTAATGTCTAATTTTCAAAAGAACTTTAAAAGTGTAGCAAACATTGATTAATGAAGAGAGGTTAAATGTTACACTGTTTGTTATTTTTAACAGATTTTGAGTATGTTCGATTTTTTCAATACAGATCATTGGTTTGTGTTCATGATCAGTAGATGAGAGAAAGATCACACAGTGTACTGATGTATTTCAATGAAAACGATGTTTAAAGCATACAATTTATAAAATACATAGGGATACTACCCTTAACTCAGATCTCATATGGTTGAAAAATGAAAATTATGGTATTGAGAAAAAATTCATCACCCAACGTGAGATTAAAGGTAATAAGAGTGTTTGAGCCCATCTGCATCGAGCTGGACTGAATCTCTTGCTAGCCTATGCCATACTATATGCCATAGAGCTAAGGGTTTCCAATGCGACCAGAGGTTCGCTGTGAACATTGTGGATGACTTGGCATTGCTAACAGTTCATACTACAAAGCTTGTTAGCAGGGTGACCGATTTCAATAATACTGTTGGTTGTTTTGTAACATTCACAATGGCCATTGTCATTGGGGTGCTGTATTGCAGCATATCACCATTGCAAATAATAATACATTTGACAGTCTGTAAGGATATTCATCCAATGTCCTAAGAGAATTATTGGTCTATTTCTATTGGTCAATATTATGGTCGTTTTAATCTGTCAAAGTCAAATACTTCAATGTTGTCTCTTACTGTTTGTCCTGACTATCAGTGTCCCTTCAAATGTTACTTCCTATTGGTCGTCTTAACTGTCAATGTCACAGACTTCGATGCTGTTTCCTATTCGACCAAAATGTATAAATACGCATTATCTGTAACATTTTATGACCACGACCACAACCAGAACCAAGGCTCGGTCCCGGATCCCTAGTCCGGGATCCTGATTCTCTTCCTGATTCGGACCTCGTACTTTCTAGATGCTTCCAGAATACATGTTCTACTTCATATCACGTCTTCTTACTTTTACTAAATATGGGGGTTGGGATAATCGGATTTGAGTAGCATGTCGTGTCACCAGATCCTCTCTCTCGTTTTCCGACTAGGTAAACTCGTAATAGTTCAAGTATATCAAGTTGATGTGTTTACGTGAAGGCATTACACAGTCATGTAAGCAGGATAGGTCGAAATGGTCTGTTCATGCGGTACATATTGATTGACGCGATCATGTAGCGGAAATAATCACTATATATTTGTACTAGTGCATATATAAATGGTGTGAATGGTCAACCAGGGTGTCAGGTACCTGTGTGGTTGTACCACGGGATTGAGCCGAACTGGTTATGTCGAAATGTTAACATGTGAACAGTCAGTCTCCTTGATCCTCCTCAAAACCAATGTAAAATTACGCCTTGACAATCGGAGGTTTATTTATACAATATATATACTCTAAAAATACATAGTTTAATTAGCAAAATGTTTATTGAACTACTTGTACACAAGTTTGTTTATATGAAACAAAAAGCTCGAATTCAAAAACATTTTTCTTTTCCAACATACCTGGAACACATTTACTTCGTACACTCCATACTCCATTTTGACATATAGTAATTGGATAATTTGGTTTAATCAATGCATAACCTACTTGACAGGTTACATTCAATTCTGATCCATGTTTCACCCTACCACCAGGTAGAATAACTTGATTAGAAATACTATTGACCAGATGTATTTGTGTATCACCTTCTATACCGAATTCTTCTGTGGTAATTTGTATAATCTGTTTAGCACCATTATATTGACGATGAATCAAGTACACATCACCATGTTCCACAGTGAATAGATAACAATGTCGATTACATTGTGGAAATGGTTGAGGTTTCCATATAGTGTTGGTTTCGTTGACACTACATACTACCTCTTCATTTTCAACTGATAATGTCGTCTCTGCTTCACATCTAATTGAAAAAAATTTAACAAATTCTTAGTTAAAATTCAAAATTGAAACCAACAGAATCACTTCAATCAATCCTATATGTAGACCAGAGGACAAACTGAAAAAGGAAGAACTACTAAATGTCATCCAAAAATATCAACTGAGCGAAATCAAGTACCGCAACCCACAAACAGACTATCCTACCATACAGAACACACATATTGTGAATTACAACATGACTACTGAACCTATTTGGAATAAGTGTAGCACACAAACCAACAGAATCACTTCAATCAATCCTATATGTAAACGAGAGGACAAACTGGAAGTGGAGAAAAACCAAATATCATCTACAAAATAAATTGCTCACGCTACATAGGACAAAGTGGACATTCACTTCCGCTTCGTTTGCGTGTTCATCAATAAGCAGACAGAAGTCATGATATTTCTCGCCTCAAACATTCGTTCTATCCGAACAATGATGAAATGAAAACACTAATCTTGATAACTCTAATTTAAAATTATTTTTGAAACCATGAATCGATCAATGTTAGATCACCATTAGAAACCTGGAAGCACTGGACGGCCGTTTCGTTTTGGTATGGGACTCCTCCTCTAATTGAAAATGATGAAATATTGGATAGGAGGAGCACATAGAAAAACTCGACACTGACCCACTTTATCGACCAATGAGAAAAATAGTAGACAAACATAGGATCTAAAACAATTTGTCCCGTTTATAAATTTCGATAGAACAGTGAGAAGACGTAGTTGATCTGACCTAGGGTAATGTGACAATTTCCTACCCTTTCTTATCGTTTCTCTCTCCCTCATTTGCAATAATCACTTTATGTCTATTTGAACTTTTATTTAATTGACCTTTTATTAATCTGCATCTAGAATGCCTTGACAAGTGTGTATGTGTGTTCCAGATTGTTCAACTAAGTCTTTTCATTGTTCTATCAAAAATATAGGATCAAAGGGACATATGATCAAAATGAGGATGCAGACAACGACAGTTGTAAGGTCAATAAGAACCAATCAAGATCGAGGTTAACAAAACAAACTACGGGTCATACGTGGAGAAATTCTGTCTGAAGTTTAAGCTGATGTTGTTCTGAAGAAAAGTAATCAAATCTGCACAACCAAAACATTCAACTCAGAGAACAAAACTCCGCCACAACCAGGATAGATCTTCACTAAAACATTTATAAATACTGTGAAAATAACTAATGTTATAATTTTTTATTGTTTAAGATAAAGAACCATTTTAAAATGACAGTTAGGTACATGTTTTTTCGAATTAGAGTTATGGGGAACAGTGATTTTTCACACTGAAATTATCAATCAATCATTGTTAGACCACAATTAGAAACCTGGGAGCACTGGACAGCCATTCCGTACTAGTATGAGATTCATCAGCAGTGCGCATCCACGACTCCTGCACCTCTCAGTACACTAACCCAGGACCTGCGGTTAGGCGCATGAACGCCTTAACTCTGGACCACTATGTCGGCATCCAACGGTGTTAATGCCTAACTCTGATCAATTTAGCGACCTCACTCATTTGTCTTTGGTAGTTACTGCCTACAGCCATCAGGTTTGAACTCCACTGATCACTTCCTGGGTTCGAATCCCGCGAGTTGACGGACTCGTTGATGCACACTGTTGATAAATCTCATACCAGGACGAAACGGCATTCCAGTCCTTCTAGTTTTCTGTAATGGTATTCTAACAATGATTGATTGATAATTTCAATATGTAAAATTCATATGTACCAGTCATACATATACACTGTATAATAAGTAACGTTTAGCAAGAAGTTTTAACAGTGATTAGTTGCCACAGATTTATTTCAACGACTTATTATGATATAAACTCTATTCAAAGTAATATATTAACTTAATTTCTATCCATAATGAAATTCAGTTTAGGTTAGGGTTAGGGTTATGTTATTAAAAAATCATGTCGTCTTTCAACTATTTCCTGGACACAGTGCATGCACTGTGTAATCTCGAAATCTCATTTTCTAACACAACAACTAAAGAGATATATGAGGAACAAAGAAAGAGATGATTCACATCTTTGCTCACAAGAAATTTTTCTTGTGTTTGTTCCTAAGTAACTATAGAAATAGTTGATAAGCTAGTATACAGTGTTGGGATAAAAAAAAAATCAATTTGGAAATTTTTTAACATAAACATTATAAATGGAAAAGCGACCTTTACAACCATACCCCTGTGACATTTAGGAGTGACCGACATATGTATACTGAATTGATCATTTAGTGGGAGTTTGTATTAAAGAAATTAAAGTTAATTATATTATACTATTTATAGAGTTTTACTATCATAATAATCTCGTTTTTTTAAATAAATTCTGTGTTTCAATAGGTATCAAGGTTAAAAATTTGCACTTTGTATAAACTTACTTGTAGCTCATGGGAATATAACTGGTGTACTTTTGGTTATATATATAATCATGTTGTATGTTCATGTAATTCTGGTACATAATGTAAATTTACATATTGAAATTAGTCACGTTATCAATCACAATACTTTGTTAGAATAGTCCATTCACAAAAAAACTTAGGGACAAGTGACTGAGATAGTTTGTTGAATGTCCGTTTTTCGGAGAGATAATTTTCGTTTATTTGTCCGTGGTATGAGATTTTAATCATAAACAGTGTGCAGGTTCAACGAGTTCCGTCAAGCAATATTCAAAGTCGGCGGGGGATTTTTCGAAAACCCAGATCGGGAGTACTAGGAGTTGATCAGATGAAAATGGTTAGTTTTACAACTAAAACCTGGAGGATTGTGCTTGGATAGGTCAGTAATGCGACCAATAAGAACGTAAAAAAATAATGTCAAGGGTAGAGGGATTCGGCTAAAATTGTTTTTGATCAGATTAGTAATATTGGCATTAGTAACTCGGTGAATACTTTAGACAAAAATTACGCACCTATAATATACCCGTGTTTTGGGATGCCAGATCATAGTGGGTCCAGGGTAAAATAATCTATTTTGAAGAAAGCTGTTTTCATGGGGTTATGTTAGTTTGGGCATTGCGCACCCTTAGTAAATTTCAGCTAATCGAAGGCTCCTGGGATTTAGTGAAGTAGCTTACTGAAAAAGATGGGTTTTGCATGGAGTCTGGATGTTTACCTTTTTGAACTTAGCGGACACTTAATTATATATTATTGTTTTGGGGAGGTGTTTAATTAAATGTCTAGATGTGGAAGTTCTTCAGTTACTTTTGTTAGGTTAAAGAAAAAATTTAGTACGGAAATGGCTGTCGCAGTGCTGAGATAATCTACTAGGTATTTCTCTTAACTATTTGTTGGTCATAAGTCGTAGAATGATGGATGGGATTGATAAATTTATTCAAGTGTTGTTGAAAAATCATGACTACGTTGACTTTTCAGGAATGTGTCCCACTTGCGTCCATACAACAATACTTTAATAACTCTAAATTTTCAGTCAAAAAACATGTACCTAAAATGCAATGGTTAAAAGGGTTAGTTAAATATTAGCGAAGAATAAAAATTTTATAAATGAAAAAATTTAGTTAGTTGGATTTCAATGGATATTGATAGTATGAAAAATGTTGTTTGTAAGTGAGATAGTACTATAATCAAAAAATGGTGGGTTGGTGCTGAGTTTTTGTTCATTATCGGTTGAGTGTGAATTTTTTGAGTTGTGCAGGAAGCTGTTTGAATTATTACTAGGCTTAATATCCTTTCATGAAATTAAACAATAAATAAACATGTCATAAGCATATTCAACTTGCAGACGTATGGAATTTTTCCTCCACGTATAAGACTCCAGTAGGTTTTTTGTTTTGTCTTAACTCTATCCCTCCAGAATCTTGTATTGTTTCTTATTGACCTTGTTACAAACTGCCTGTTCGTTGTTGCATCCAGTCAATTTTGATACTAGTGAAAGTCTGTTTCTGCGCTCTTGATTATCGATCTAGATATTTTTTTGATTATGAGAACATATGAAACATACTTTAGTGTTGACAAACATAATCTTGAACTCATTCTACCTTAGTAATTCACCTCACTGATTTGTCATAGGCATTTCTCGTAGACATGATTAAATGTAAAAGTGATCACTTACATACATAAAGGTATAAATAGTAATAGCAGTTATCAAGTTATTATTTTTTGCAAGCAATGTGGGAGAGAGAAACGTGATAAGAAAGGAATATAGGAATTTATATATGTACCCACATACCCTAGGTTCAGATTCTAACTAGCACTCTTTCAGATTTTGTGCTAGTCTCTTAGTAGAATGGCTAAGGTGTATACATAGTACTGGCTAATTACACGTGTCGTAAATTTTTACTAAAGAATACGCGTGATCAATTAAGTTTTTAGGAACAAGAGTGCCATCATGTTTGTCATAGCTTAGTGTTTGATTTCCTTGGTGGTGGCGAGTATAATTGTGTTTTCGATTAAAGTCAGGGTTCGGGTTAGTTTCCGAGTGTTTTCATCAAATCTTATATGTGCATTTCCATCGCTAAATCGAGAATTCCAAGTAAGTGATATTATTTCATAATTACCCAATTCTCTATTAGCAAATTTCGGAGATCGTATGGGTTTAAATGTAAAGAGTCCCGAGGTATGAGACATACCTAGATAATCATGAGAAGATATATAAGACAGATTCGAGGTGCCCGTTCTTTCGCGCTAGTGACATTGTTAGCGTCAACCATTTTTCTCAGAATATAAGTTGGGCGTTTAATCTAAAAATTGGTACTGATTCGATATATTTACATTGATCGATTCATGGTTTCAAAAATAATTTTAAATTAGAGTTATCAAGATTAGTGTTTTCATTTCATCATTGTTCGGATAGAACGAATGTTTGAGGCGAGAAATATCATGACTTCTGTCTGCTTATTGATGAACACGCAAACGAAGCGGAAGTGAATGTCCACTTTGTCCTATGTAGCGTGAGCAATTTATTTTGTAGATGATATTTGGTTTTTCTCCACTTCCAGTTTGTCCTCTCGTTT